ATCCAGACAGAATCCTTAAAAGGGAACTTTTTAAACAGGTATTTTAGAGGCGAGCTCAATCAGGTGATCTGAAAGTGCAAGAAACGGTTTCTTTTCAGTTCTTTGGAAGAAAAACTCCAGAATTAGACACTGAAAATACCGTAAGTTTAAAAACAAATCTTTCTACCTTCTGCAGAAAGAGATACTTATGCAATGGCAGCCTTCAACTAGACAGCCACATCTGACAGATTACAAGTGATACAAAATTCAGTAGCCAATTTTCTGTATATCTTAGCACAGAATAGCTCATGTAGTTCATGAATGCATTTCTTTCCAGTTGCATTTTGTTTTCCTTTGGCAATTAAGTACTTTTCTACTCACCCTGTGTTACATATTTAACAAGAGTTGGCAAGAGCCAACAACTGCATTGTTTTGGAGGGGCATAACAGTTTGTTATGCTTTCATCTCTTCTTTCATTCTAGTGCTCTTCATATCACAGCTTTTTCACTCCAAGCTGCAATAGATTCTCTCTCTCTCTTCCACCCTGGATGCTCTCTCTCATTCAGCACCTTTGCCCCTTGGATGCTCCTTCTCTGTCTGCTCCTCTGCCCCTTGGATGTTCCCTTGCACTCAGCTCTCATGCTCAATTCTTGCCTTCACAGATCAATTCTTTATAGCCTCTGCTACCTCCTGATTGAAACAACATCACAACAGGGATCCCTCTGCATGCCACAGCATTACACACAAATATTATTTTTCTCTCTCAGTGAAAACTATAAAATAGATACTACTCTGCGTCTGAACCCTTGCCATCTTGGCACTAACATGTTGAGCGTAACACTATGGCTAACTGCAAACATTGAAAGATCTGTGGTGTCTTTCAACTTTGAAAGCATTTAATACAGGGGAGAAAAGTGCTGCAGAATTCACTCTGGAAATGAAGACACCCAGTTGTTCCCCAATATATGCGATCCTTCAGATTTAACTGCTTGAATTAAATTGACATTGCCCTCCTCTCACGTTTTATATCAGTGTAACTCAATTAACTTCAGTATAAATACTCCTGATTTACATCAGTGTATGGGAGAAGAAAACTGGGTGCAAAGTATTAAACATAAGAGTGACTTGACAGACCGTAAGACCGGTATTCTGCTGAACACAGCACTACATCTGTAGTTGTGCTGTTATGTTAACACTGAAAAGACTTTCAACAAAAAAAATAAATTAAAATCATAATATCTTGGACCAATTATTTCTTAGAACAGATTGGGCCTGATTCTCCTGTCACTTACATAGCATTTGTGCCAGTGTGACTTTATTAACTTTGTGGAGTTACTCCTGATTTCAACCAGTGTAAGTGAAATCAGAATCAGGCACCATATATCTGGCACTAACATGCTTGGATGAAATTAAGAAAGAGAAATTTTAGGTTCAAAAAATCCAGCAGTAACAGCTATCTCCTATGGAAACCAGTTGAAGACTGATTGCTTAGGACATTAAAACTAGATTGGACGCAACCTGCACAATCATGAATGAATAAACCTGTAATGGCAGAAAGGTGGACTAGATTATTTAACAGGTCTTCCCCAACTCTAGATTCTATGATTCTGTTTATTCTTCAAACTAATGCAATGATTAACTAAAATTAAGCTGTAAAACAGTAGCTGTCTTTTACAACATCCCACTACAGAGGGTAACAGTCAAAGCTGTGAAAATACAAATGCTAAAGTTATCAGCAATAGTAATACTAGATATAAAAATACTATACTGAGCTACCTCCGAATATTTTAAATATTGGGTAAAACTTGCTCTAGTTATAACATCTGTATTACTATTATATTAAATAATTTAATTATTTTATAATAATGCAAGATAGGCCACCTGGGATGCCTTCTATTAATTTCAGCATTACAAGATCAGATTCCTCCCGGGGAGGGAAAAGTCAATGTAAGAGAAAACTCTACACTGAAACTGCAAAACTATTAACTATGTAATGCACTAAACTTTCCTTGTTAAACAACTGGTCTACTTCCGTCTACCCAATCCAAGTCATAATGAACAAAAAGAAGTACTGTACATCACAAGCAAAGCATCCCCAGTAATATAATATTAGGCAGATAGATAATTTCCAATGCTGGATAACAGAATATAAGAAGGCTTAGTGATTGCCACATTATTCAGCAGATATTATCTGATTATAGATGAACATACTAGTTGTTAAAACTAGAAATTGATACCTAATACATTAGAGTAATTTATGTCTCTAAGAACCAAATATTCAACTGCAGCTGGAAATGTTCTGATCCTCATATATATGATTATGGAGCTCAACAGACATATCTTATATGGGAGAAAAAATATTTTACATATAACAACTTAACACTGAAAATGTTTGTGTCATTAATTTTACAGTCTTCCAAACTAACAGAATTGTATATAGCAGGTTCTATCCAAATTCAAAATGAATGTTAATGGTCAGTATTTTAACATTCTTCTTTAATTCTCAGATGTAGACATGATTATTCAAGTAATCATCAACAAAGCATTTTTAAGAGACTGAGGTCTTCAAATTGCACCCATTTCAATGAATGCTAGAACTCAAGGCAAATCTGTCACTCAAAACTTTTTAACCTGTTCAATAAGGAAAAAACCTACACATGAAAGGAGTTCACATCTATTCAGGACAGGAAAAAATATGTACGGCAAGCAATATGTACATTTTGGGTGAACTAGGAATGTTTTAGAAAACGATAATACATCATCAGCAGTTAGTTACAATTATTAATCATAATTATTACTCATTTTTTAAATAATTTCTTTAAAAAATACTGTAGGTTTACTATTTTGAACAGGCTTTTTGCAGGAAGGGAATTCAAGCTGAAATTACAAACATGACTAATAGGATAGCTGAGGGTATTTTTATTTCCCAGCCCAGTTATAAACACTTGATTTCTAATAGGAGTTCTTTAAATCTGGTTTAAGTTGCTTAAAATAAACAGACTAAAACTCCAGGACAAGGGGGCACTGCAATTATGCTAAGTAATATGAAAATCTCTATGAACTAAGATAACTGGAAGAAAGTTAAACATTTATCAACAAAAGTAAATATTAATTTTAAACAAAATAACTAAGTCATTACTTATACCAAAAACAAGTTCAGTTTTTTATTTAAAAATATTTTATTATGTACTAGTAAACACAGTTTGTATGCAATTTTAATTATGGTTCTATATTTGATTGATATTTATACTATGTAATAGTTCAAAGACACTGAATCTTTCCCAATCTCTGTTCATGTTACTTGGGAAATGCTCTATTTTTATGACTAGTAAAACAGCTGCGGCTGGGTTGATTTTCCATATCCCTCCCCTTACTAGAAAAGGTATGAAAAGGAATATAAGCAACAGTCCATTTTAAATGATCTATGCTGAATGGTTTGCATAGGTTAATAACTCCTCATTCTCCTCTCAGCAAACTTGATTCCTAGCAGTAGCTCCTGGAGCGCTGGGCATTTTACTTACTGCACAGTCCCTATTTAAATGAGATGCCCCCAATGGCGCCAATTTTGGGGGGGAATGTGCCACACACACACACACCCCAAAAGGTTTTTGCACTTACTTAAAAGTTCCATAGGCCACCAAGCTACGGGGGGCCATGGCCCAACCACTTTTAAGCAGTGGTCCTCTTTTAAATGTAGGGTTGCTTTTAAAACATAACAACTGCTGCTGGAGTGGTCCAGAGCAGGGCACTAGCTGCGTGGTTGCACCAGTGAAATTTCACCCGGCGGGGCCACATTGGAGTGAGCGGCATTGCGATCTGGTGCAGGTGGTTGCAGTGCCACTGAAATTTGGCCTGGCTGCCCCTCCCTCCAGATAGTGGAGCAGCCAGGCCAAAGGTGTTGCGACCTGTTGCAAGGGAAGTCTGTTCTGTAGGGCAGAGCACAGAGGGATCCTCCAAGGACTCCACTCCTAGCAACACTGGTTCATGCACTGTGTGGGTAACAGAGAGGGGAGACTCCTGGGGTAAGGAAGACCCGGGTCCCTGCGAGAGGAAAGGGGGGACTGGAATTTCCCCCCGCCAAGAAGTATCTGTATTGGGCCACTGCCCAAGAGCAGCATCAGAGGGTGCTCAAAAGGTCTGACAAGAATTGGGTTAGACACGGTCTACAACTGAAATACGGGCGAGAGGAGAGAGTGAGCGACTGCCGGGACCCTACCCCCATCCTGCAGACCCCCCTGCCCAGCGGGCAGAAGCGCTCCGCAAGTGGCTCCAGGAGCAGCCGAAAGCAGGGGGGCGCGTGCACAAAAGGGGCTGGGGACAAGGCACCTCAGCACGCCCGGCCCGCGGCTGCGGGAAACCCATCAGGGCTGCACAAGAGCGGGCGCTGCAGCCCCCGAGCATCCGCGCTCACAGCCCAGCGCGCTCGGGGACTCGGGCAGGCTGGCGGAGACGGACCAGGGGGTCCGGGCAGGGAGGCCAGTGCAGTGCCCGGGAGGGTGGGGGTGTCGGGGAGATTTAGGTTCCCGCGCAGGGGCACTGGGGGGGATATAGGGGAGGAGACGGGGGTCGCTCGGGGCAGCGAGGAGGACATGAGGAAGGGCAGAGGGGTCCAGGCACAGTGGGGTATACGGATAGGATTGCGGGGGCATATCGAGGAGGACGCGGGGAGGATATAGGGGGACCGGACGGAAAGGGGCTATAGAGGTAGATTCTGGGGGGCGGGACATGAGCAAGAGGGGGGCTATAGGGGCAGGATGCGTATGCAGGGAGGTTATAAGGGTCCGGGCAAGGGGGGAAGGGAAACAGGGGTCGATTCTGGCTGGGGCTGGAGGGGAGGAGACAGGAGTCTAGGCAGGGAAGGATTCGAGGAAGGGGGAGATGTGGGGCCCGGAGTCCTGAGCTCCAGCCTGACGCCCCCCACCAAGGGGCAGGCAAGAGATCTGCTGGGGGAGCCGCTCGCCCCCAGGCAGCCGCCAACCCCGGGGCGCGACACGTCCCCTGCCCCCGCCCGGGCTACGTACTGTGGGAGCCGTCAGGCGGCTGATGCTCTCCCCGAGAGAGTCCAGGTTGACCCGTCTCCTGCGCGGAGCCCTCCTGGCGGCGGCGGCGAGCGGGTCCTGCGGGCCGGGCGGGCTCCGGCTGCCGTTCCAGCAGAGCCTGGACAGGGGACATTCTCCCTCCTCCTCCGGGCTGGTCTCCAGATAGTCCGAGCCCAGCGAGCTGAAGGACTCCGAGGAGATCTTCCGGCGGGCCATGCTGCTGCGGGCGCCGGGCGAGCATCAGATGTGCAGGGGCAGCGCGGCGGGGCTGCGGTGGGGCTCGGCCAGGCTGCGGGGACCCGGGGGGCGGCTCATGGCTGGAAGTTCATGCCCCAGCCCGGGTGCCTGCGGCCGGAGGGAGCGGGTCCGTGCTGCAGCCTGGCCCCAGCTCAGCGCCTCCCGCGCCCTGGCCAGGTGGTGCCGAGCGCTCCGCCGGGCTGGGCGGTTTTAAAGCAGATGCCGCCGCTGCCGCCGCCGCTTTGCTCGGCTCCTGCCTCCCTCCCTCCCGCGCCCCCGCCCCCGCCCGCCGGAACCACGTGGGGTTGGGAGGCTTCGCCTAGCCTGTCGCTGCAGCTCGGGAGCCGCAAGGGCACTTTCCCGGGACTTCCCCTGGGCACCCCCTGGAGAGAGCCGACGCCCACCCCCCTGGGCTGTCAGTCCCCTCCTCCACCCCGGTGCGTCCGATTGCCGGGGTCTTCTGTCCCCCGGTGCATGCGATGGCCCCGGCTGTCAGCCCTCGCGCTCCTGGGCAGGTGGAGCCGGGGCTGGGACATGCACCTTCCCCCGTGGCCTGAACCCCCCTTCCGTGCGGAACTCCCCCTGCTCTGCCTGTGGCCCCCAGAGCCCATTGCCCAGCCCCCAGCGCATGGGTCGGTCTCCCCTCCCTGTGCGGACAATGCCCCGGTCTATCAACTCTCCCATCCAGACAGTGCCCTGGGCTGCATCCCTCCCATACACACACATCCCATGGACTGGGCCCGGCTCTGAATCAGGACGGGATGAGGCGCCCTCCATCTGGATGTTCTTCCTGAGGTGTCCCGTCTGTCCCCTAAGGTTTCAGACTCCTCCTCTCCTCTTGCCCTTCATCAGGAGGCTAAACCAGGCCAGGGCTCCCTTCTGCCCAGTGTAGAATGAATTGCCGCTGGCTGGCAGGAGCACAAACTGGAGACGCGATGCTGGATCCCACTTTCTGCCCTTATGATCTTTAATGCTTAACTGTGTCCTATGAACAAATGGACCAAATAGAGAAAGAGCTGGGGAATACAGAGCTGGGGCAATTGTTTCACCGCTGCCCCGCTGGGTATCCCAGAAGGGCCAAACTTCTACAGTGCTGTTACTGCAGTGAGTCCAGTGATTTTATCCCTGGTTTACATTGAGAATGACAGCGAAGAATCAGGCCCCATGTGCATTGTGCTTGGTTTGAACAGGGCAATGCTAATGAATCACAGCATCTCTTCCTCTGCTTGCTTGGTCACCTGCCTTGCTGGATGGTGTTTCATCGTTTTGATTAAAAGTGGTTAAATACTAACATATAGTGTACAGATATGCCACATATTTATCATAAAGATATATTGAAAGCGAGTGTCTTCTGCAGCCATGGCAGAAAATAGTTTACATGTTGTAATAAACAAATTGAGTACATTTCAGAGGAGCGACTTACTAGAGGCTGCAAAAATTTGTTTAGTTTAGATCACACATCCAGTTATTGGGCATGTCAGTTTCTCCTGTCTTCTCATTTTGCCTTTCTTGGAAACTCTAGTTACAGGTGTTTATTTATTTATTTTTCAAATACTTTTTTTCCCCCCTGAGTCAGTACTGGACAGCTCCGTTTCTTGACAGTAAGACGTTTTCAGCTCTGCAACTATACTTACTGCTAAAGAAGCAGAATTCTGTTGTTACTTATCTTGCTAGTTGTTTGCTCCCAAAATAAGAACTTTCTGAATGTCGCTCAAAAAGCTAAGAATTACATACAGACTTTAAAAAAAAAACTGTACTTTGTCATCAACTATATTCAGTACAACAGTTCATTATTTCACTTTTGTACTAGCATCACATCCACTAGCATCAATTATTTATCCAAGAAACCACATGCAGAAATAAAATGCAGGCCACATAACACCATTCAAATGAAACCTTTTTTTAAAAAGTGCTAAACAGAGCTTTGAGGATGCATGACCCCTTTGAAGCCAGTGAAAGGGAAGCTATCTAAATCATGAGTCCGTCCCCCCCGCCCCACCCCAAGCCATGCATTCCCTTTAAAGAAAAGTTAAGCAGTTCATGGCAACAGGGCAAACAATTTCACAAATTTTACACAGGCAAAAAGGCTCTTTACAAATGTGATGTGAATTTTATTATTTCATGCTACCAACAAATAAGGTAGATTCTTCCTTGTTTGGTTTATCTTTAAGGTAATCAAAAACGTTTAGGATGGGGTGCTTTTCAGAACCACCAAGAAAAAAGAAACAGTTGCAATGCTGTGAGCCCATGTACCACGTCACATGTACCCATTCACATTTGGTCTGATTTGGTCCAATTACTATGACATTGTTGGCATCACTGAAACTTGGTGGGATAATACACATGATTGGAATGTTGGTGTGGATGGGTACAGCTTGCTCAGGAAGGATAGACGGGGGAAAAGGGAGGAGGTGTTGCCTTATATATTAAAAATGTACACACTTGGA